TTCGGAAATTTCGTGAAACGTTCGTACCTACCTCTTCCTTTGCAATTTGTCTCTTAAATCCCTATTATCCAGCGGGTAGCCAACGCCGTTCCATTGACAACGACGCCAGCCTAAATTCTATGGCCGTGTCTACAGCGAGCACGTATTATATCCTCGCCATGAACCCGAACAGTGCCAGCAGCACGCTGAACTTGACGTTCCCCGATGCGGTATGCGCTACGACCGCGTGGCGCACATCTGCTAGCGAGGACTTTGTTGAGGTCGATGCTGCGACACAGAATGGCGACGAATGGATCTTACCCTTGACTGCAATTAGTTTGACGACTTATATCTTCGATAGGAATGCGTGTTAGTCTCACAGATAGTGGAGATTTGATAATGGAAGATACGATTATGAAAGTCTTATAGGGATGGAGCAATCAGACATGTCGGAGACACGGCCTCGATTTACTGCGAGAGACACTTTGGCGTAAGGTCCATTAAGAGCAAGTAAGGAAGAGTAGCTACAATTTTAAGTGTTCTACACGTATCAACACAAATCAAAAAGCTACACAAGGATTACTTAGGTAATTCAGACCGCCGTGGAACGAGACCTGGTGCGCAATATAGCATAACTGCAAGGATCTCAGGCAGTGCAACCAAGGGGTACCAGAAATGCTCATTGCTCGCCGCCTTGGTATTATTGATCGTAGCCGTCAAGAAAGCCTCGCGCACGATGAGTAGAATCGAGATGGCACAAAGGATGAACGACCCATGTTTCTCTCCAAAGGCCTTGGCATGTTCCCTATGGTAACCTAAAACACGATCCGAGTCAATCAAACGGGTAAATGGCCCGACAAAAGATGCACTGACCATCATCTGTCTCCCTCCTGACGAGTACTACCGTCTGGAACGCTTGGAGAATGGTAAGGACCAAGAAGATGATAATACTAGCTTTGCGGAGAGCAATGCCGGTAGAGCTTGTGGGATCATTCGACTCCGTAGTGATACCCGCTATTCCCAGCGCGACGCCAGCTGTGAGGGAAAGTCGGAAGATTCTGCGATTACCCGTTATGCGTGATAGAATGCTTGTGGAGGGAGGGAGGGAGGAGAGCAGCTCCCTGGGAATAATCAGTAACGCTCGGCAACAGCCTACGAGTTCGACTCACCTGTCTAGCACCAAGGTGTAGGCAGCATACAACAACCCAAAGAACCCTATCCCGAACAAGACCTCATCGGCAATGAGGAGGCTAAGGTTTTCACCCGCTGAATCCGACCCTATCAAAGCGGCGCGTATCACGAATGCAACGAAACGGACTGGCGAGACGTTCAGTAGATACTCTATCGATAAGACAAAACAGCTTACTTGCACAGAAGACAGATAACACTATGTGCACGTAGGTGGGATTTTTGAAGGATTGGAGAATGAAAAATCCACATAAGGGGACATAGGCGATGGTGAAAACGATAGCTGCAGCTATACTGCTGTAGCCATAGGCATCTGCGTAGTTGGTGCTCGCCATTGAATATTGAATATTGAGGTGTTGTTGGGAAGGAAGGGTAGTTGGTTTACAGCTTAACATTGACGTCGCCTTTAAATAGAACAGTAAAGCGGTGTCTCAAACGCATCTATTTTTAGCTCCCTGTTCCTCGGAGAAAAAAACTGAAATCCTTTCAACAGATATGTCCTTACTCGACTTGATTGCAAACTTGACGTGTTGCTAGTTGCTCGGCGCTCAGACAGCGCTCAGGGGCCAGGAATTTCGACGAGAACGAGGTGTACTTGAGAAAAAACTGGTGCCGTTGGGCCACTGTAGGTACCGTCGGGAGAAGATCGAGTGCGTCGGATCACCTGGGAAAGTATCGGAAATGCGGTAAGGACGGTAAAGGCTGTCCCAAAAAGCGATAAAATGAAAACCGCATAGATTTCAGGGCACATGAGGGTGCTTCAAGTTTGGATATAGAACTTCTTCTACCTCAGATCTTAAACACAACACGACCGGTTAGCCGGCCTGCCTCCATATCGGCGAGAACACTAGGGGAGATTAATATCAAGAATGAATCCTGAGAAAGAGCGCACGTACTTGTTGACTTCTGTCAGGTCTTTGACCTCGAAATGGCACTTCACTTTGCCTCGGGCTGCGAGATCGAGTGCTTCAAGGGTGTCTTGCTGGTTTCTAGCTCATCACTTATTAGCATTCGCAGAAGAAAAAGAAGGCAACTACGCTTACCCAGTTGCAGATCCAACGATATTAAGTGCCTGCCAATCAGCTTTCAGCAGTCGGATCTCGATTGGACGAGGAACCAACACCCACCTTGGCAACCAATAGGGGAATAGGCACGTTTAAAAGGGCTGCTCCCGGTGGCATACCAACAGCAACCAGCGTCCCAGCTTTGCGCAAATACATCAGTGCTTGATTGAAAGGCCTCGCCTGTGATACAATTCAGATAGAGCGCCCGAACAAATATGACTGGGAGGAAACATACGTCACCAACAGCCAGGAGGGCGGCATGTGGACCAAGACCGTCTGCAGCTTGCATGACTTCCTCAATAAGGTTCTCAGCCTTCCTGAAGTCAATAAACTTCTCGGCTCCTAGTCCAAGGCACAGATCTCTCTTCTCGTCGCCAGTATCTAGAAAGGGTTAGACCAGTAACGGAACAAGTTGGCGGGGAGAGTGTACCAATGGCTATGACGCGTAGTCCCATAGCTAAAGCATATTGGATAGCTTTATCCACATAGAATGAGCCTCAAGCAGCTCTACCGAATGTAGTTCACATACCCAGATGGCCTAGTCCACCGCCAGCCCCGGAAATAGCTACCCAATGTCCGACTCTTGCCCTCGTCTGTTTCAACGCCCTGTACACAGTCAATCCCTAGTTATAAAGAAGCATTCGCGATGAGTTCGGAGATTAATAAGCGTGACACGCACGGCACATAAGATGGGGGCCGCCTCATCGCTCGGAAGCCCATCCGGAATTGGGGTAACGTAGTCAGTGAAGGACACCTATGCAGAATGAGTTTAAGTTTCATCTCGCAGGGGGGGCACTCACAGCATAGTCAGCGAATGTCCCGTCCAGTCGAAACCCATGGCAATGTGTGTCAGCCACGGAGCAGACTAGATAGCGACGAATTAAAAGCGATTGAAAGCAAGGATTTACACGCTTACGAGCATCATTCCCGAGGTAACACTGTTCGCATCTATAGAACTATCAATTCGCATTCAACAGTTTTCTTGCAAGGTATTCATACTTCGAGCAGGTATTCGCAACCCATTTCGTGCCCACCCTATCGCCTACTTTGATACTGGCGTCTGCGCTGCGGTTGGGTCCAATAGCAACAACGCGCCCGATTCCTTCGTGGCCCGCAACGACAGGAATAGTAGGCTTCTGCAACCAGTCTCCGTTCTTCGCGTGTAAATCTGAATGGCAGCACCCCGAGTATTCTAGCTTGATAAGGCATTCGCCAGGAGCGAGTGCCTCGGGTTGCTTGACAGGATAGTCATTCCGGAGCACCAAATCCTCTTTGAGCTGGGCGATAACAGCAGCGCGTGCAGTCTGGGGGATAGACATTGTTAAGAACATATCAATCTCATGTAACGGTATTTATATCAAGTACTCACTAAGGCATGTGTTATTTCCGCGAAGCTACCTTATGAGGCTCAGGTGTCCGATTCAAGACTACGCCGTCTTGGTCAGCTATTGATATGGGGCTCTGACGGCGATACCGGATGACTTTGCAAGAGAAGTTGAACCTTGAAGAGAAGTATGTGCTGATTTAATCCTGATAGAAGCGGATATTCAGGACAAAATATGTATGGACAGTCAGCATGAATGTCATACCATGGCCGTGGGGCGGAGGATGCAAGCCGTTGAGTGACTTGAGAGGAGATAGAATTCTGAGAATAGCAACAGTTGAGAAGGCCAGGTGTTGTCGAGACTCTGCGAGTAAATAGCAGAATATGCTGGTGCTGATTGCGACACCAAAGGTGCAAAGGAGAAAAGTCGACCCGTGTTTCATTTTGGCTTTCTCAACATTGTCGCAATTTTCCATGAATCTTAGCCCTCTTCCAGAGCACGTTCTGTATCGGCGGAGATAGAAGAAGTACCTTCGGATTGAAGGTGCTCAACTATTACATGTGGGAGTTTCTCGGCGTCTGAGATAACATGTCAGCAGCTAGATATCGTTAAATGAATAGAAAATATACTCTCGGTGTACCAAGAACTTCTTTCGGTGTCCGATTTCAGCTACGGAATTTGTCTGATTCTACCACGGGGGTATTACGCTAAGTGTTCTCGTGTTTGTTTTTCGGCCTGATCCGTTAGAGTAGAGAGATTAATAGAGTGAATACACTGCATAGCACGAGACCAAGGATTACAGAACGTATCAGTGAGCATGCGGAAACGCAAAGTGATGGTGGAAAGCAAGAGAAGACACGTACTCAATGGGACCTGGGAAAAGCGTATGACCGGTTACATAAGTTACCGAGTTATCGGTTGTCGCGGTAGTAGCGGCCCGAGAATATCCCTTCCCCATCCATCATTTGGCGCGCCTGTCCCCAAGGGATGTCCAAGGAGAAGACACTCTAAGAATATTGTTGGGACATCAGCAGATTGGGAAAAAAATTGCCGGGGGTTGCGGCGACCACGGTCCGGCGGAATTCTTATCCGCCTCGTCAAGGCCTCACAGGCCCATATAACCAAGGCGTAATGTTGTGCCCTTTTCATAGGCTATTATAAACCCACGTAATAATTACTTGCTCTCTGAGATTGCATAAAATTATTTTCAGCTCATGTATCACTACCATAAGCACAATAAAATGTAGCCGGGCTTGCACAGACTGGTTCAAAACTGATTGAAAAATGGTAGTAAGAATTGAATTTAATTCCTAGGTGTCTAAAACGATGACATAAATGTATTACAGGTCAGCAAACCCCATATCATTGATGTCGAGCTCGAGGTCATTTGACTCTACAGATCCACTGCAGAATCGGCACCTTCTATGGAAAGCCTCTCGCCATCATGGTCTTCATGGTCTGGTCCATCGTTTCCCGTTTTGTGTGTGGAGGATGGCCTAGCTTTATTTAACCCTGTAGTCGAATATTGGCTTCACAGCGGTTCTTGTGAATTGAAAGTCACGATCCTTCGGATGCTCTACTGAATTTTCACTGTTCAGCCAGAATCAGCGGGAGACGGGAGAAAGGAAAAAGAACATCAGACACTAAGAAAATTACGAGAAGTGAGACGGGGTGCATGGCATGAAAAACGATGCCCAATTAGTTGATTCCGAGTCGGAGATCTTGCGATCGTGTCGTTGTGTTCGGATGTACCACGTGATAGCTCGCGGTTCGTTCTGAGTTTTAACTCACTGCTACTTACTCATTTTCCTTCTCGTCGTGGAGGCCTATCGGGCCAGAGCCAGATCTACAAGACCTATCTCCTCTAGGCCTATTCTTCTCCGACACGGACGTCTTCTTCCGAGCTCGGAACTCCAACATAATTTCTTTCAATATAAATACAGTCCGAAGTCGCAGCTCTCAAGCAACGCCACCACCTCTCCAAGAATCGCAGATTTCCAGCCTGCTTGGATCCTCTCATCTATCAATGCATCAAGTTCAACTAGTGGTCTTTTGAAGAGACGTATTGCAGAGTTGGAGGAGGAAGTGGTCGTGTTGAAGGGCACTCAAGTCAAGCATTGGTGAGTTTGATAATGGTTCTCTCCTTGGGATTCGCTCCATAACATCTTAGGGGGTTATTCAAGCCGATGAGTTGTGCCCTTCCCCATGTGATGTCGCTCTTTAATAGTGTCCGGAGTGCCAAGGATGAGCAGGTCCGATGCCAACAATTTGAGGTGACATTCTTTTTCCTAGTGATGTTTTCAAGGCTGAAAAGATTGAACTATCTAGGTCCCCTCCTAACAGTAACTCTGGGAAGCGATTGGCAGCGAAGAGGGAGGAGCAGGAGGGAGATCATACAGTATAAATTTGAGGTCACTTGTGTAAACCGTAGTGTTGTATTATGTTCACCGTAATAATAAATATACTATTTCAAGTCTCTCTAAGTCTCGAAGAGTGAAACTACAAATTATACATGCCCCCAGCCACCCACAAACTACTAGCTGCTACGGGCCCGCTCTAAGATGGTGCTTGGGTTATATTTGCCCATGGCATCAAGTAATTGTACTAATACCTTTCGAAGCCTGACATGCATTACTGATATCGGAAATGCTCATAAGGATATGTGTAGAATTATCATTTTTCCACGCTTCATATGGGCATATAAGGCTGATGCAATTATTTCGGACATTGCCATGCATTTCGAGCCTTGCCACGGGCTTATACGGCCGTATATATTTTTGTTCGATTCGCTGATGGATTTGGCAATCCGGCATCATGCCGAGGATGCTTATTAAGGTAGAAGTCGTAGGAAAAGCGTGGAACATTCTAGTAAAAGTACATTTAGTATAAAAGTAGGTACTTAAGCGTAGATCCTCATGCGTTTGCAGAGCTCAGCCAAGTGCAATACTATTGGCTTGCTACCGTGCATGTGACACTGGGAACGAACCGATACCCCGTTTTCCAACAAATATGAAGACTCATCATTTGGTATTTTCGCTTTCTCCTACTGCTGGAACACCGGAGAAGTCGTGCTGTCCTCTTATTTCTACCCGATATCACTCTCTAGGTCGCCGCTAGTACTGGCCCGCACACTTGAATCTTATTTTCGTACACAAAGAGCTTACTTTCCAGTTATGCGACATCTCTTAGAGTACCCTTACTCGATGTGACTCTCTAGGTCGTCAGGACTAACGTTTCTTTCTCTGTTACACTGCAAAACTATCTTCATGTTGCGGACATACCTTGCAGCGTGCAGGTTTTTTGCCCCACATTTTTCTTCGTGCGTTTAGAAGGGTACTTGGAAAAACAGGTGCGCCAGCTCTCGCCGGCTACTTCGATGAGGTCCTAGGAGCACACATCACAGACAATTCGAACAATTTTACATAAATTACGATGACCCTATAGCTATCTATCACGGAGGGTTATTTCGGCGACGGGCTTTACTCTAATAGCATACATACAGGGAACCACGTGGAAAGATACGGACGAATATCATGGGAAAGGCAAGTGAAAGGCTTCAGACGACCGCCGGTTCTTCCTGTCAATTTCTTTCTAGATCAATAGTAGCACCTCTGCCACTTCTGAAAGCGTTGTCACGATCCGGACTTTCATCCCTTTCCACTCCATCGTCCTTGAGTTTGTTCTCATAGAAGTTATCCAACGTGCCCTCCGCAGCGGGGATACCTTCTAATTGAGAAACGGAATGACCGAATTGCAAAGTAGAGACATTACTCGATTTCCAGCTATCATCAGGACGTGCTTGTCCCGACGCGATACGTCCGACGATAAGAGTAGGTGCGATTCCCTTCAAAAGAAGAGTCAGTACTTGAGCTACCGCAGGAAAAGATGGGCGAACTGTGATAGAGACGTATATGGCTTCCGGGTAAACACTCGCCTCATAGTTGTGGAGCAAAAAAGCCATCCACAATATTAGAGAGACGGCATAGAGCGAAGCCGACTCAACGAGAATTTCGATGACGCCGCGGTAGGCACCGATGCTGTTCGAAGATCTCCCAACTTTTATGATTCGGTAGATGATGAGAATAGTACAAAACAGCGTAGTTCCCAAAGAGAACGAAAGGTACATGGTGATCCATTTGGTCTCTTGCATAGCCGCTTTCAATGGATCATCTGATATGGAACCATAGACATCGTCCAATAGGGCCATCCAGCCAAAAACTGCTATGGTTAATTCCATGAGGACAAGAAGGCCGAGAGCCATACCATTTTGAGAAAACAGTAGCAGTGTCGGTCAGACGATGGTCTCATAGCGACCACCCCAAATAACCCAGCAGCGCCAGATCTGATTGAATTTTCAGTCCTCTTCAAAAAAAAAACAGAAGTCACGACAGACCATGATGGCGTCGGCAATAGTGGTATTGATCCCGGACGTAATTCCAGCTGACCAATGCAATATAAGCCACGACGACGAGCTGCTTATCGTTGCTTGAATCGCAGTGGCAACTGTCTCCCCGTTCTTGACGAAGGTGTATTGTGTGAAGTTCCAGGTGACAGCCACATAAATTGTGGTCGAGATATACAAGATAATGATGATGAGAATCATAGTATTCCTTGCTTTCGTTTGTCTCCCTTTGTTGGATGCTATAGATATTTAGATCGTGCAGGCATTCGGAGATAATCACTGAAGACCTAGCATACCTATTGACCATAGAGTGACTGCTAGGGTGCATGTATAGATGCCTGCGACGTTTTTAAATTAGATACATTGCACACACACATTGACGCAGTTACAAACCATGACAAAAAGTTCCAAGGAGGGATTCATTCAGGAAAGGCCCAAGAGGGTTGACGTATTCTTCGTCCGACATCGTATTGGATTCTCGGCAAGACTTGAGCTCGCTTAGTTCACTCTTATATAGCGTAGCTAGCCACGGCCTAAGCTTCATCTGTGATGTCTGTGACTCAGCGATATCACTCGAGATTCCTATGAAACTGGTGTCCTCAGTGTTCTGAACAGAAAGAAGGCGATAGAACTCATGATTTTGAGAGATATGTGCGATATAGCGTTCGGGGACTGTAAGTTCAACGAATCAAGCAGAGCACATGCATCCAGAAGAGATGCAAGCAGATATATTTAGAATGTTATCAAACATGCAGTGAGTATCTTGCTGCATTAGTATCAGATCTTTTGACTTTTCATGTTCGGATGATAAGAATACTCACTGAACTTCCCACAAGGGACACATCGATTGTAGATCTTTAACGGCGCCAGAACGTGGTGGCACTGTACATATGGTGCGGCAATAGTGGTGTTTTGGAGTTGAATGTGCGGCCTTCATCTGAGTAAATTAGGACAGTACATCTAAAAGAGAGAAGAGTTGGCATCTTGTCGAAATGTTTATGGCGGAAACGGGGGGTACTGGATGGTCAGTTGAGGAAGCTTTTTTTTTTTGCTACCCATCGGCCCGAACCGGACCGTTCACGGCACCGACAAAATGTTGACGAAGCGAATGATTGTTTCAACAATTGTTCAACAAGCCTGAGCACTGCCTGCCCAATGTTTGTACCTCGGTGATGTAGTTCAAACACATCTACCTCTGAACAAGTTGATTATATCTCAATAACTCCAGATCTTCCGTTTTCATTAGTGGACAATCATACTCAGAACGAGTCAGAAGTCTGCACTGCAACTGCACTGGCAGGACTGCCAAGAAATCGGAGGGTTGAATTTTTCATCCTGGTATAGCACAGGTGCAAGTAGCTCAGCTTCTGTGATAATCTTTGTGGAATAAATCCCTCTTTCGGTTGATCAATGCAGCATAAAGTCTGGACACCTTTCCAAAGAATTCTGAACACACCGGAGATAATATGCAGGCATTCCTCGGTATAGGCGTCCATGACACCCAAGACATTGTCAGTAACGAGATATTAAGCGAGAGTCCGATTCAAGTCCGATTCCTGAATTCCTTCGTATATTTACCCACTTCGACACCATTCTGTGTTCGATGAACTTTGCGTTACCCGAATAGTTTCTACTAGGCGTCATCTGTTGTAAACGATTTGACTCATTCTTACGCATTATGTATATTATGCAGTCGATCTAAGCCATTGCAAGGAGACTGAACCAGCCCTGCTTGTTGGAAAGTCCGTGTAAGCATGTGAGAGTCTCCCAGGTCTGGCCTAGAGAACATCTCGATAATTATTTAATGAAATAGATGATAAATTTCTTAGACGTGGATCGGTTAAATGACATTGTAACGTTTACTTCCTGCGAATATAGGTTATTTCTCTTTCTCTTGCAGTGCCTCGGAGGCTTGTTTCCTGCAACCTTACGCACCGGCAGCGACAACGTACAATTATAATTGGTTGATATTTAATGACTTCTAATCGCACTTGTGATCTCGGCACGATAAAGACATGACAGAGGGCTGCGGCATTGTCAACAGTCACCGAAGATGTATAGTAATGAAAAAGGGAAACAAGTGAGATACACGGATGGTAGATAATTAAGTTGAAGATAACTTTCAGTCCGTGTTATGAATGCTCATTAAGTCGATGCATCCCACAATTCCACAGCTATGGGGTGAATTACGTGCGGCCCAAGAGGGCCAGAGTCTGGCGAGAAGCCTCTTCCCTAGCTGCGCGAACGCTTCTGGCACTTCCTTGACCACTGGCGATGCCATCAACTAACCAAGACAAGGTGTCAGCACGCGTTCCATAACAGTATACGGATTGTTCGTACTGAGAGCAGTCGAGGTCCATGTTCCATTATGCTGAGGTCCTTCAAACACATCCTGGAACTCAAGCTGAAATCCAGCTTGGATAGAAAGATTGTTCAACTCTGTTCGATAGTCTGCGGAGGACAAACAATATCAGATGAATCACAAGACAAAAAAAAACGGAGAATATAGCTGCGCGCCTCTTCGTTGGTTGTCAGCCATTTTATCTGTGTGGGGAGCAAGTGAGAAGGTTGATTATTTCAGAGGGAGTAGGTGTCGGTTAGTATGGTATCGAGACATTGCGTCCTCATTTTTATACGGTAAGAACAGCAAAACAACTGACCAAGACAAGTAGAATACTCCAAGTCATATTTCTTTAAGGACAGCAATCTTCCGGCAAAATAGAGAGAAACCGTATCCCAGTTGACAGCATGAAGGTGAAACATTACAGTAAAAAATCGCTTCCGGCTCTTGCTTGCGGGAGCGGGACACACAGGGAATGAAGACGCTTTCTATGAAAGGTAACTTGAAGGACCAAAATTCCGAGCGTGAAGTCCGGGCCAATGAGATTTCGAACTCCTGAGACAGCTTTGCAAGAAGAAAGATGGCCTAATCAAAAAGCTGTTTCAGGGGGAAAGGCTTACGTCGTTAATGATCATAGTAATTGACCTCTCGCATGGCTTGTACGATGAGACAGATACAGTGCTAGACGCCGATGAGAAGATCCACGAAGTCTGATGGTACAGATCAGGCTCAAATATGCCAAAGTCTAATAGAGAAGGTTCACAGCCACTTGTCAGTGTTAGAGAGCTATATTAGCAACAGCAGACCTAGTAAAGAGGTCATTTGATCTCTGATAAGCGAAAATGGTTAAAACAGCAGTAAACAGCAACAGACAGGAAGGAGATACCAAGATCTGACTATTCAATTTTTTGGTCGCTTTGCTTTGAATGCAAATGCGAAAGATTAAGCGAAATTAGCCGGTTGAACCTGTTTGGTGGTGGTGGTTAACTTTCGAGTGGCTGTGGCGTCATCGCGTTGGCGCCGCACGTGGTCGTGCGTGTTACTAATCGCCTTCCCACGGCCGCGTAGTGTTGGCCTCTACTACTAGTACTGCTACGGTGCCGATTCTTCTTCCCATGATTCCTCTCCTTGCATAATGAACGACGGAGTTATCGCACTGAGCGCTCCCGTTTCGACTGCGACAACTAGAGGAATAGTACTGATTCGTGCTCAATGGGCGACAGAGTTGTAGAAGATTGCAGTGATACATAGCGACATTAGGGTATGTGGCGAGACTCGAAGGAGCTACTATATAGCGCTTAACGAAGACGTTCTCCAGTAAATATTCTTCGTATCCTGTCTTCTGGACAATGTGCAGGCTGCATCGAATCGTAACAATGGACTACTTTCAGTAGTTGCTCCTCCTTGGTTTATCAACGCCTTTTGGCACTGCTTCCCGATGAATGTAAGATATCCCGGGTCACGAAACATCTTTCTCCAATCGCAGTAGATGAGCTAGCGCTGGTATGCACTCTGCTGGCCATGCGGACTTCCCGGGGGCGGATGCGATTGTGCTGTGACGGCTCAGGACTGTGGTGCTGTAGAATCCGGTAAGTTAATATTTGGCTTGGATGATTACGCTGTAAGATCTGGGCAGAAATTGACTGTCAGTTTCTGCAGAGAACAGTTCGTTGTACGGGCTTCATTTACCTTAAGGAGCTCGTTAAGCTTCTAATCTCGTCGGCACTGCTCGAATCCATCTGCGTGAGTAAAGGTCCTGCCCTACAACCTGCGCTTAAGCGCCAGGTCGTAACGTTTCATGCAGGAACGCCTAGAACAATATAACCTATAGGCTGTATTCTCCTCACGGCGACTTAAAAGGCCGGTACAACATTGACTGTAGAACAACGTGTCGACTGACGCCCCTGTTTGATACAAATAGGACCTTTCTTATTGTCGTTTCAGCCTGCCTTAACAGTATGACTGCGCGGTAGTCGCAGTTGTCGCTACAGCGCACCTTATTTGTCCATTTCGGAATCATAACGCGTCCCCTTCCCTCCTCTCGGGATGTCGTGCCGCGTCTGGCATCTTATTCAGACTTTGTTGGACATAAACCAGACACGACTGTTCTGAAGATGGGAGTGCCACAGGGGACGCGAGCGTTAGTATTAGCTGTCGGTTCAAACCGACCTGGCGAGAGCCCACTTACTTTCTAGTTGAGGTGGTGCATACATGTTACCCTGCAGTTATAAATGCCTTCTTTTACAATCACCAACTTCGAGCGACGAAAAACTCTATCGAGGTTATCAAGGGCATCCGTTTCGACAGCAGCTCCCTCTAGTTCATTGGGCTCCCTCCAATTATGACTTCTCTATCGTCCTTTATCGCTTTACACCTGGTACGTAACCCTCCGCTTTTATAACGTCGCGGCGCTAGTACGGCTCTGATGACACGGACCGTTCCCACTAAATACCCGATATTATAGTCATTCCCTTCAGTGCTGGTCTTTGAAGTCCATTCGAGTAGATGCATCTCTTCCATCGCCTTCAGATCCTGTCGGCGCTGAAGGAATCGGTGATGAAGAGCAGCAGGATCGTCTAGCCGAGACAACGGTAAAAGGCCGTCCATAAAAGCTTCAGAAAGCAACTCTCTTGCCTCGCCTTGATAATGAAGGCAATATTGTTCCGTTCGGGGGTCTCATTTTCGTCCAATCGGAGGCAGTACATTGTGCATCGACATCCGCGCTAAAGGAACATTGAGATCAGTCGGTCGAGGTGAGATGACCCGCGTTATTCCTATATCAGACGTTAACTCGGCAAACGCTAGGACGGCCCCGCATCAGTCATGTTCAACAGCTTGGACTGAGAACTAGGTTGACATCTGTTGGCGGCTCCAAATTCATTAACATCTTCGGGGGCGATGGGTACATTTCTTAACGAAATGAAGACACGAGGATCCATCGATGATGAGTAACTCAGGGCTGCGAAGACACTCGCGTTGGCCATTCATTCAGAAGATGAAGATAGCTTACCCGCTCACATTACAATGCCAACTTTTGTTTAACATTAAGGATGTTCCAGATGAAGAGATCCCATGTCGGTATCGGCATCGATATGAACAATTCGACGGGAACTATCATACGGCCA